AGTCTACAGGAGTTCGAAGGAGACATTCTGTCTCTTCAGCCATGGTCTTTGTGAATGGTCGCCTGGTGACAGCCTGGTCGAGGACACAGAAAAGCATAGCTCTGAGTAGCTGTGAATCAGAGTATTTGGCAAGCGTTGGTGGTGGCTCAGAAGCTCTTTACATAGCAGCTCTTTGGGAGTTTCTCACCAAACGAGAGACTGAAGCCCGGATCATTTCAGATTCTTCATCATGCCGAGCCTTTTCACAGAGGCAGGGCGTTGGACGCTTGAAGCACATCAACGTGAAGTACCTTTGGCTGCAGCAGAAGATCAAGGAGTGTGCGCTGCAGATGGATGGAGTTCCCACGGTGTTGAATGTCGCGGACTTGGGAACAAAGCGACTGGCAAAAGCTCGCCGCGATTTTCTGATGTTTCTCATTGGCCTGGTAGAGTATGACAAGAACTCAAAAGCCTATGTCCCTGTGGGGGAAGATGCCTTCAACGCCTACTTGCAGAAGAAAGCAATTGGAAAGACAATGAAATCGGTGAGACAGGTGATGTTGAAATCCCTGATGGATGGCGTGGAGGACTTGCCCCTCAAGATTTCAAAACCTATGGTCAAGGCAGTGACCGTCATGGCATTGCAACCTTTGGTGTCTGGTGCGCGCTTGGAAGAGATCAACTATGACCTGGTGGTGCGGCACTACACCATTGCCGAGTTCTTCTTCGAGCGGCCTTTGTTCATGGTCTTCTATGCGCTGGTCTTCATGATGACGGGCATCATCATTGGGTACTACATCAAGAAGAAGATCCACAAGATTCAGCTTTCACAAGTTCTCTCTTGGGCCAAAGGGGTGATCAGTGAGCAGAAGGAGATCACCTATGTGGACGACTGGGATCCTGTCAATATGGAGCTGAGACAGTATCGAGTCCTGCAGTCATCTGACGATGCGATGTCAGGTGAGGAATACTTCCGCGAATGTCCTGGCGGATTGGCCCGATTCGTCAAGCTGGATCGGAAAAGACGCAGAAAGTATGGGATCGATGAGACGGATCCGCTGAATGCCTATGACCTGACGTCTGGCGAAGAAGCTGAGGAGGAAGAAATGGAGGTGGACGAAGCTTTGCCTGCGGTTGCATCAGCATCCGCACGGATGGCCCATGCCGAGCTCTACGGCGCTGACAGCGTTGGTGGCGGAACAGGTGCTTCGGCGACTGCTGCGGCAGCAGCAAGGTCGGATAGCAACACCAGGGAGTATCTGAGCAGTCTTCCTGGGAGCCCGAGATCTGAGTCGCCGACTTTGCCGACAATTGGTGTCGATTGGGAGAGCCTGGAAGTTCTGATGGAACACGTCCCAGCCAACCAACGTGAGAGAGCACGCCGTGTACAGGAGGTAGGATTGTTTAATCACCGTATTCTAAAGGAATACCTCCAAGTTCACCTCATGTCCATTTTTCCTGGCCAACCTGATCTGACATGGGATCATGAGGCCTGGTGGACTCAAAATGAACGTAGGAACTTTGACACGTTCAAAGATATCGTGGCCTATGGGATGTACCAACTGAACTGGGGATCATTTGTGGAGCAATGGTTTGTACAACAAGAGTTTGAGAACAGCCGACCCAGTGACATCCCATGGGACTCCGAGTAAGGACAAAGTTCCAATACGTAGGACCTCATTGAAACTTTGAGGCGGGGTGTTAAACATGTTCAGCATGACCACCTGCTGCATGGATGACACGCACAAATCAAGAAATGCGAATCAGTTGTCGTGAGACACAACATGTGTTTCCGAAATCACAGTGGCTCTAACCGCCCTTTGAAAAAGGTGTGACTGCCGTGCTCCGCAACTTAGCATTAACACTTGGGGACACTTGGGGGCACTTGGGGTGGGTTTAGGGGACACTTGGGGACACTTGGGGTGGGCTTAGGGAACCAACTCCAAGGGATACAACCCTTTAGGTTAACACTTGGGGACACTTGGGGTGGGTTTACGGGACACTTGGGGACACTTGGGGTGGGTTTAGGGGACACTTGGGGACACTTGGGGTAGGCCTAGGGAACCAACTCCAAGGGATACAGCCCTTTAGCTTAACGCTTGCGGACGCTTAGGGACACTTGGGGACACTTGGGGACACTTGGGGTGGGTTTAGGGGACACTTGGGGACACTTGGGGTGGGCTTAGGGGACACTTGTTCCTGATACGTTGTAGCATCCTCTTCGAGTGACTTGCAACACGTTCCTGCTGCATTGTGACATCTTCTGCGCGGCCCTTCCGCCATGTTCCATGCATGACGTTGTCACGTCTTCTTCAAGTCCCTTGAATGATGTTCTTGCTATTTTGCAACATCTTCGTCAAGTAGCTTGCAATACATTCCTGATACGTTGCAACATCTTCCTACTTGTAAGTAAATTGCACGACCTTCCTGATACATGTGTCACCTCGTCTTACAGTAACTTGCCAGACGGTACTGGTACGTTGAAGCAACTTCTTCAAGTGAGTTCAAACATGTTCCTGATACATTGCGACATATTCCTGATACGTTGAAACATCTTCTGAAAAGTGACATGCAATTCATATGATCGAATCAAAGTGTCCTGCTCATCATCTCTGTCACACCTGTTGCAGTCATATTCAAAGACTTCTATGTCACTTTCTATTGGTGCTGCCATCATATTTCACAAACGTAGGCGTAAGCGAGTAAAAACGTAGGCTTAAGCGAGGTACTGACCCCAGAGAAATGCTAAAATTTAGGAACTCACATTGCCAACAAATGGCATTAAAAAGCTGAGAAATTCAAGAATCATGAGGCATAAGTGGATTATGCAGGGTTGCAGGCAGCGCCCGTGAACTTCGTTCATAAGCCCATCTAACTGTAGATCTTTCCATTATATACCCCAGTTAGCATAGTTATACACCAAGTTACCTATCTAGGGGGGGCCTTCCTATAGGGACACCCAGTTTTTCAGCATCTTTCTGAGGCAACCACCGTAGAACACACCCTCGCGCTGGATGAAGGTGTTAATACCTGCCATCTGATGAGTCACCGGTCACCAGGTCAAACTCCTGTTCTAAATCCATCAGAATAAGGGTGGGAAAATGCTGTTCGATACCCCATGAAGTTGAGCACCTCCCTTCTTGGCGTCCATCATTGTGAAAAGCGCTCTTACGCCGAAACACGCTGAAACCCTGTACGGCGAAACGCACTTAGCAGACCTTGATACCAAACGCTTTGAACACAATATATATATGCGTATATATATATATATGTACATATATATAGAGAGAGAGATAGATAGATAGATAGATAGGTAGATAGATAGATAGATAGATTAGATAGATTAGATAGATTAGATAGATTAGATAGATTAGATAGATTAGATAGATTAGATAGATTAGATAGATTCGATAGATAGGATAGGATAGGATAAGATAAGATAAGATAGGATAGGATAGGATAGGATAAAATTAGATTAGATTAGATAGATAGATAGAGAAAGATAGAGAAAGATAGAGAAAGATAGATAAAGATAGGTAAATATACATAAAGATAGATAAACATAGATAAAGATAGATAGAGATAGATAAAATAAGCTTCGGCGGTATCCCCAACAGCCGCAACGAAGCATGCTGCGAAGCCAAGCGCTGGAAACACCTCAGCTGGGTTTCCGTGAGTTAAATGAACCTGACCTGGCTTGGCTTCGGCAACCTTCTCCCGAACGCGTTGAACTTGGCTTTGCACCAAGGCTTCCTGGAACCTTCTCCGGAACCCTGTTGAACCTGACCTGGCGCCTGCACCAGGGCACACCGGAGCTATTCTGGGCTGAAGACCCCATGAGCTCACGCTGTTGGGGAAAAAAAGATAAAGATAGATAGAGATAGATAAAGATAGATAAAGATAGATAAAGATAGATAAAGATAGATAAGGACAGATAAGGATAGATAGATAAGGATAGATAGATAAGGATAGATAGATAAGGATAGATAGATAAGGATAGATAGATACGGATAGAATCATAAGGATAGATAGATAAGGATAGATAGATACGGATAGATAGATACGGATAGATAGATAAGGATAGATAGATAAGGATAGATAGATAAGGATAGATAGATTAAGATAGATAGATTAGGATAGATAGATTAGGATATATAGATTAGGATAGAAAGATTGGGATAGATAGATTGGAATAAATAAGATTATATAGAATGGATAAGATTACATTGGATAAGATTAGCTTGGCTTAGATTAGAATAGATAAGATTAGAATAGATTAGATTGGATTAGATTAGATTGGATTAGATTAGATTGGATTAGACTGGATTAGATTGGATTAGATTGGATTGGATTAGACTGGATTAGATTGGATTGGATTGGATTAGACTGGATTAGATTGGATTAGATTGGATTGGATTAGACTGGATTAGATTGGATTAGATTGGATTGGATTAGATTAGGTTGGATTAGATTGGATTAGATTGAATTGGATTAGATTGGATTAGATTAGATTGGATCAGAATGGATTAGATTAGATTGGATTAGATTAGATTAGATTAGATTCGATGGGATTAGATTAGATTAGATTAGATTAGATTAGACTAGATTAGATAGCTAGATAGCTAGATAGCTAGATAGATAGACAGACAGACAGATAGATAGATAGATAGATATATTATAGATATAGATAAAGATACAGAGAGAGAGAGAGAAAGAGAGAGAGAGAGAGAAGAAAGAATAAGAATGTTGAGCCAGAACTTCAGACCCCCAGTCACGGCCAAAAGAAGAAGAGCAGCCCCGAAAAGTGCAGAAAAGATGACCCAGGAAGACCATCGTGTCAGCCAAGTTGAAGTTGTATGCCCTGTTTTTGGACAAACCAAGATGGTTGGAAACTGGATCATTCACCAGTTTACATATCATAGTTGCATAACAGCTCAAAAAAATGGACATACCAATGGACATATAATCTACCACTACCTTGGTAGGATTTGACTCTTCCATCTTAGGGGTTGCTAAGCCAATCAAGTTTCTGGCGGTGTGAAGCCATCATCCACCTTGCCACCTGCGCCGGGCGCACGGTTGATACGCCCAGGGGTGGCATCGGTCTTGATGCCCAGAGATGGCACGGACCAGGAATGGATCACGTCCTGCCGGGAGCGCTGAACGGAGTGGTGTGCTTCACTCCCAGAGGACTAACCCTACTTACCCTTAGCCAGGGAGAAACGAATGAAGTTTCCCAACTAATATAATAAATTACAAGTACCCCGTTTATGGCTTAACAGGCTAAAGTAGTAAAGTGTGCTACCAATGGTTTCTGCAGCATTTTCCAGTCCTTTTGAGGGGCCACTAATTCTGACCAATACCGAGGAGTTCCCGCGAAACACCTTTGTTTGATGGTAAAACCTTGTAAACCGTAGGATTTCCTGTAGTGTTTCTCCATTCAATCCATTGACATCCCGCAACTCTGGTAGAGTTGACCATCAAGTTTACACAAAAACAATATGTGTAGAAGCCACAAGGAGCTAAAGAAAAATGTTGATCGCCATCGTTACCCATTCAAAAAACTAACATCAAGTCCCAAAGTCCCAAGATTCTGATCCAAGAGCTGATGGATAAAGATTAGTAAAAATCCACATGATATTCAACAGATTTTCAACAGTCCTTTTTTTCCGCTGGTTATCCTTCCCCACCCACCTCTCTGGCTCAACTCAAAATTCAACAACTAGAACTAAGGCCTGAAATAAGCTTACTATCTTGTGGATATCCCCATGGGTATAAATCATGTAGACACAATCTGGCTTGATCTGAAAAGGTACTTTTAAAAAAAAAAAAAACATAGATTGCCATCCCTATTGCTGATGTCGGGACAAACCCTCATAATCAGGTGTCAACCTTCAGTGGTTTGGCACCACTTTTTTGGGTTGCACTACTTCCCCATTATTTCTGTCCCGCCAAAAAACATCACTCTTGGACCTCCCATGCTTGAATTCCCCAAGATCTTGCTTCGATGTATAATGGATTCTGATATCCCCAGAAAGGTGGAAATTTAATGTATCGCTATTTCAGTAGGCGTTACTTTTCTTCAATTTTAGGATGAGTACATCTATGTACACGTGTACATATATCTATATATATATATTACGTTGTATATGTCATGTGTATGTATGTATGTATATATATATATGGTTATATATATATAAGGCTACATGTATATGTATATATATATGGTTATGTATATATATATATATGGTTATGTATATATATATATGGTTTTATATATATATAGTTGTATATATGTATATAAGGTTATATGTGTATATATAAGGTTGTACATATATATATATTATAATGTTGTATATATGGTTATATATATATATATATCAGGTTGTTTATATATGAAATGTTTTATATATACATATATATATATAAGGTTATATATATAAGGTTATATATATAAGGTTATATATATATAAGGTTATATATATAAGGTTATATATATATAAGGTTATATATATAAGGTTATATATATATATATGGTTATATATAAAAGGTTATATATATAAGGTTATATATATAAGGTTATATATATATATATTAGGTTTTATATATATATACATGTTATATATATATATGTTACATATATAAGGCTACATATTTATATATATATATATGTATATAACCATAAGGTTGTATGTATATATATACATGTATATATGTATATATGTAAGGTTTTATATATACGTATATATATAATATATATATAAGGTGTATACATACACACTATGTCACCATATCATCCCCATCTTTGGACAAGACTTCCGGGCCTGCCCGGTCACCAGGAAGCGGATGTGGGTACGCGTGGGCAACGTCAGGCGTTTGTCCACCTCTGGAGATGTCGTTAAGAAAATGGAGAAGCTGCAAAAATGTTTGGCAAAATGGTGGTGTGGCCAAAAATGCTGACCATTTTGACAAAATTCATCCCATATCCCAGAGAAAGAATCAGGCAAAAGTGGGATGAAAAAGACTCAGAATGTTTGATATGAAACCAGAAATGGAGAATCGGCACCCAGATGATAAAGCCATGTATTTTAGGGGCCATTGTTTTTTACAGGAAGCCATGTGATTGGAACTCCCAAAAACATGAGGAGATTGGCAGCCATCATAAAATCCCCAGAATGACTTCTTTCCGCTGGTCAGTATACATCCCCATTTATTGTAGATGGTGAAATCATCGACGACCCCCAGCCTCCAAGCCGCTGGCCATACCCGCTTTCAGATCCTGAAGGAACCGAAACTCTGGAGGTCTTTGGAGGTCATAAATATTACATTAATACATATATATATATACACATACACATACACATACACATACACATACACATACAGCATCTACATCTACATCTAAATATACATATAATATCATAGTATATATAATATATCATATACCTATAGGATCTATAAGGTACGTATACCTCTACGTATACGTATACATATATATGTGTGCTAAAAGAGGGGTCAATCATTTCAGAAAGCCATCTGAAACGGTGGATTGAAATGGTCTCTTGCAAGCATTCTGATCAGTTTCAATAGCCATACATTCTTCAGGGCTGCAATGATCATCGCTGGGTCGCCTCCGTCAAGCGTGGCTGGGAAAATCATCGTTCGTGGCTGGCAAATCCCCGAACTCAATAGAAGCTTACAAGTTATCAGGGACAATACCATACATACCGTTACATTACATTACATTACATTGCATTACAGTACATTACAGTACATTACAGTACATTACCATACATACCATACATGACAATCATCTAAAGATTGGGGAAATTTCCAGCCACCCGGATTGCTCGTGCACCTCATCCGCCACCATGTTGCTCTGAAACTGGTAGAAGGTTGGGATCTCAGCACCTGCGATCCATCGATCCATCGAGTTACCGCCAACCAGCCACTGGCTAGATGAAATGGTCGTGAGGCCACCAGTATGGATACCATTGGATACCCAGACTCATAGTATATACTCCAAACCTCGTAAACTCATAATACTCCAAGTGTGTCCCACAAGAACAATCTGGCTCTTCCGGCCCTTCAAATCCAGTGGCATCTTCCGGCCTTCCAGGTATTTGTCGGGTGTGGGGTAGTCCTGCACCAAAAAAAAGAACGTGCTACCTCAAAAAATAGGTTCCAGCTTGCACAAGCCCATATGGGTACAGTAAAGACATGTAAAGACTGTTGGCTTCTGCATCCCAAAACCTGAAAAGTGGGCATTGAAAACTACAGTTCGGGACAAGGAACAGGCTTCCGCGGTGATTTTTGGCGTTGGAAAGAGCAACTTTGGGGGGAAAGGGGTCTGGCTGATTTTGCAAACCATCTACCATCATTTACCATCATTTAGCTGGCTGATTTTACCTAAGCACCAATGACTAAGCACCATCTATTACATCTATTGCTGTAACTACCATTGGTGCTTAGTCATTGGGGCTTCCCCATCCCCCTCTCCTCGGCTTTCACATCTTGCAGCTTCACGTTCTTCTTGGTGGTGAGGTTCTCCTTGTGTCGCGGGTATTGGTCGCTGATTGGATCCAGCCGAGTGGATGGTTTGCTGATTACAGGAGCCTATGCTTTAATCACACAATATACACACATATAAGTATTTGTAACATCATCCAATGGTTTAACTAATGACCATCACTTACCAAAATGGATGTTGTAAAATTGTGATATTGTGAATTATTAAACGTGACCAACTTATTCAAGGCTCCATTGGCTAAACTATAGCCCTATATATTTAAGTCATCCCCATCTATGATCATCGGCAACCAATGATGGCCCCTCATCTGCTGGAGAAAGCCCTCCCAGAATTAGCTGGGTCCTTAGTTTGACCCATGACCATCTGTATGGAGCAGCTGGCAGTTGGAAGGAAATCGTCCTTCTATTCGCACAACGGCCATGTGCGTTGGTTACATTTGTGGCTCAGCCATTCTTGACATCCAAAAAAAAGTCAAAAGCTGGTACATGAAGTCATAAAGTAATCTAAAGTTCGAAAATGCCTGAGCCCTGCAACTTTATGAACTAAGTTAGTGACTCCCTGAGTTTCCCCCCATATTTTCCCCACGTTCACCCCCATCCGCACCGGCCGCTCAGCGGGCTTGAAGACGGCCTTCAAAGCTGAGAGCATCGCCTTGGTCTACGTCTACGTGTTGAGTTTCACCATCAACAAATGGGCACTTTAGATTATTTTAAGCTACAAATGGTTGAATCAACAAAAAAGCACGGCTTCGGCTTATTTTTTTTATGCTTTAATATGCTTTGACCAGTGAAGATTAGGACAACAGTGCGACCTAAGGATGTCAAGTTGGGGAAATAGATGCAAGCGGGAATATCATGAGAATACACTGGTATATATGAAGCAACAAGTATGATGTTTGGGTACGTCGTAAAAATGGCGGTGAAAATAGAGGTAGCAACCCCAAAAACAGGGTAGGAAAGTTGGACACCTCGAAATAATGATGCAAATAGCATCATCTGTAACATCCTGTGCAACGTTGCTATCTTTTGGTCTACGAATATCTGAATGTCTTTGCACGGTAATCTCCCAATTCACCAGCCAAGAGGTGACAAATCCGGGGTTAACATTGCATTTCTTGATCAACATTCCTGGAATTTACAACATTCCGGGGTACCTAACCTGGTAATCAAACATGGCAAGCTGGATATTTTAACTGGCGATCCAAAACAATATGTCAATCTGTTTTAATGGGAAAATCATCTGTAACTTTATGGGATTTTCCAGCTAGCCAGGTTTGATGACACCAGAGGGTTTTTTTCTTCTTATACCTAGCCCCAAATCCTTAGAAGATAACAGTCTGGAGAATGTTTCCAAAGGAAAACCCAAAAATATCCAATTCAACTGTAAGCAACAGCGTTTCCAATTTCCAGTAAGTGTTCCAAGGCTATCAACCACTTGATTGGGCCGAAAACAAATTGATAACCACAGTGATGCCGTCGAATAGAGCCGTTGGAGCAACCCCCAACTGGGGCAACTCACGTTGACGACACTTGGGAAAGACCCAGCTCGATCGTTTCGTGTTTTCGGAAGCACTGCAGCCCCCAGCTGAGCAAAAACGGCAGCAGGATCACCAGAAATGGATGGCCGAATCTTGCAACCAGAACCCGTGACTTGATGTGAAACTCCCAAAATAATATTTTAATGAGTGTCTTTGGGGTGTGATTGAATATGAACATTCATTTACATACGTAGTTGATCGTACTCGTGTATAAATATATATATATATGGGGGGTTCCTAAAATAAATAAGGGTACCCCCAGTTCTCATCCTTTTTAGTAGGATTTTCCATGAAATAAATCATCCAGCGAGCTTGGCCTCCAAAAGGTCCTTCTGCAAGGCCTCGGATTGATCGCGCCTCAGCCAGGGAGATGGAAACCCTAAAAATTCATCACTTCAAGGAATGGATTGCAAGTTTATATATATGTACATATAATGATATGTGTGTATGTATATATATATATACATATATATATATATATGCATAACTGTATAACTATATTATATATATATAACTATTATATAATCAACTAGGACAAATTCAGCTTCCACATTCAGCTCAGCTGGGCTCCGCGCCCCTTTTTGAACTCCTTCTCCAAGCGCTGGGCCTGGAATGTTGGGCGCCCAACATCCTGTCAAACAAAAAAAAAAGGTCCTGAGAATATATTTGGTGTCCAATGGATGATATGGATGATATGGATGAGGATGAGGATGAGGATGAGGATGATGTTGAAATAGGTTTAAAATAGGTTTGAAATAGGTTTGAAATAGGTTTGAAATAGGTTTGAAATAGGTCTGAAATAGGTTTGAAATAGGTCTGAAATAGGTTTGAAATAGGTTTGAAATAGGTTTATCTGAAAATCGGCTACCTGTTTCAAAATCCCATGGTTGAAATAAGTGTTGAAATAAACTCCTCTTCCCACATCGGCCCCTGCCCCATTTTCAGACACCCAAAAAAACCCAGCCAGAAATCAGGAAGTGGTCCATGCTGCCATGCACAATATAATAAATCATCCAAAGAAGTGGAATGGCTTGGGGTACCCCCAAACAAACGAGGTGCTGAAACGTTCCAGTTGGTATCTTCTCACCCAAGCCGACAGCCGACAGCCTGGAAAATCCGCGATAAACCACTTCGAAGTCACCCAACGGGCTGGAAGATATCTAAGTAAACCGGAAAATCATGGAAAATCAGTTCGAAAGTCTCTGACGCCCATGTTTCTATGTATATATATATTATCTATATTTATAATGCAAATAAACCATTTCAGGGTGATCTTCAGCTCCCTTCACTTCCCCGTCCCTCAGAAACGTGGCCGAAAAAAACAGCGACTGGAAATCGGCCCTGCCTGCGCTCGGAAAGCTTCCTTTTTCGCCGAGGTGATGGCCAGCTGCTCCTGAACTGGAAGCAGATTGAAACATCTGGAGCCATCTGGAATAGATTGAAAAATGTGATTTATTGTTGATATTTGTATATATATATACATATACATACAATCATAATCAATTATATACATAGATGTGAATTGATAGAAGCGTTTTTTCTGAGCCAAAGTTGATGGTTCCCGCAATTATTATCATCGTTTAAGGGGTCGGGTTCCAGGTCGCCATAACTTGCACAGAAAAAATTGGAGGTGTTCCATCTAGACAGAGGCCAGCACGAGCCGTGACATGAAACTCCAAAGATGGTCGTTTTGAGTGGAAAAAAATGGAAAAAACATCGACCCCAAAATGTGGTTGAAGACCACTGGACATAGCCTGTTTGCCAACCATGGGTCAATTTCCAAGGCCCAGGAATCATCGATCCATGCCCACCCGGAGAATTGGCTAGTGGGCTGTTCCATGAGACTGGCCCAAGGTCTGAGAAGGTTGAACGCTTAGCAAATCCCAAGGAAGAGTCAAACGGAATGACCTAAGATTCTTCATGATTCTTCCATGTTTATCGGGATAATGTTGATTGTCAAAATTGGGGTTCCTGAAAAACCATTCAGTCCCCCATTCAAAAAAAAAAACTCCCAGAGATGACCGATGGCTGCAGTGTGACCATCTGGAACTGGGATTTTGAGATGCTAAGCATCATCCTATCTTTGTTTGGTCACGGCACCATTTTTGCTCACTGCGACTTTGACCACATGGAGCCTCTTGCTTGAACTTGGCTAAACATTTTACACCATTGTTTCAACAATGTTGGTTGGCAAAAAAACGTCGATTACTCTGGGTAGGTCTGCAATGCTTGGCTCGACAACTTTTTGGTCATCAAGGCTAAAAATAGTAAAATGCAGGTTCCAGTCTTCTCCCTTGAGGGCCAGTGTTTTTGGATTCCAGGGCGCGTCAAGAAATGAACCAATATGTTTTTTCCCTGGATGTTCATCCCCCCTTGTCATACGAGGAAAAAAAAACAATCGGTGTTGCCTATCCCCTTAATATCGGGAAAAACGTACCGTGGGTCTATCTCTAACCCCAAACGATTTGTAGATCTTGAGATGCCATTGTAGAAACCGTTTGGGCTTAAAATGCCTATTATGTGGTATTTTGATACCAATAGCAGCTAATAGCAAATAGATCTGGTATATTCATGGATATTCCATGATATGGAAAAAAATCTATCTATTACTATATGGTAGAATAGATATGGTAAAAGATCGATGAATTCCAGCTGCCATGGCACCTGATTCATCCTCAGTTTCTTCATCAGATTGGCATTGTCCTGCAGCACCTGATGTCGTTGAAGGGTGGAACGATCTCAACGATACAAACGTAGAACTTATATATATAAACTTATATAAGATGATATGATTAACGTCTATTCAACTATGTCATCCAGATATATGGCAGTGTGTCAAAACCTTGTACCCCTTCTGTTCACATCAAAATAGCTGGGATTTATGGATGTTCATCCCCCTAAAAATGGTATTAATAGGTATTGATCTATACCCATATCTAGTTATGTCATCTGGAAATACTGCACCATGCTTCACAAAGCTGAATCCTTCAGGGGAATCATTCGCTGGGCTTGGCATCGACCCAGGGCGAATCTCAACCAACCAGAGGAATCATCAAATCCACCAGGAAGTGATCTTAGAAGTCACAAGAAAAATACCAACCGCCACCTAAATACCAACAATTGATGCTACAAATAGATATAGATATAGATATAGATATAGATATAGATATTACTATATATACATATGTGTGTGTGTGTTAAGGATGAGGCAAAAATCAGGATGGCTGCCTCATTGCAGCTCTTGGGAGTTACCCTCCGGTCAGTCGCATGGCAAAAAAAAATCATCCAGCCATGGATGGTTTTCCCGCCATGTTTCATGACACAAGGGTAACCCTAGTTGTTGGATATTACTGGCAACTGAACATCCCCCCTTATGGTAACAAAATGATATACCCAATAAATCAGCAAAGGCTACTGAAGCCTCAGCTTGCCGCCAACTTTCAAGCCTGCTGGTACTTGTCGTATTGAACACCCATCTGAGCCTGGCTATTGCTATGCCCCTGCTGTTCGGACCCACAAAGAAGCTCTATCCAAAAAAAGACTGGTAGGTTAAGAACGCCCTACGAATTCCTCAGAAATCACCCAAAAAAACATGGTATTTTATTTGTGATACCCTCCGGCAATTTAACATAGCTATGGAAAATCACAATTTTTAATGGGAAAATCCACTATAAATGGTGATTTTCCATAGCTATGTTAAATTACCAGAGGGTATCACATTTTTTCTCAGCAAAGTAGTTCAGAATTTCTGTCAGAATCAACCAGGCCTGCTCTGAGGTGAATTCCACCAGGGAGCCAAAGCTCTTGGAGCCCTAAGGCGTGGGCGAAGGTTGAGCCAGGCATCCCACAAGAAATAATATCTGTATCTATAAATATATATATATAGACATATGTATGTATAGGTATAGGTGTATGTATATATATATATATGTGCATATTATATAGGTATATATATATGTGTGTGTGTATATATATATACACATATTGAGAAAGAGAGAGAGTCAGTCGGAATCCTCCTCGTACTATTCGGGATCAAAATACTGAAATTGAAAACAAGATGGGTATGTCCGAGAATGGGGGATGCTCCAAAATTCCTTGTTTCATGGGAATATGATAAGATTTTTCAGACAAATCCATATAGAACGCCTAGAGCTTTGTTGGTGAAATTCATCCTTCCTCATCGTCCGGGCTGACATGGGGAATGTCCATGTTTGAGCGGAAAATGTCGGGAAAAGTCCGAAAAAAAAAATCACGTGTGTGTGTGTGTCCATGTACATATATGTATATATATATATACACATACATACATATATATATATAGTTAGTTATGTGTATGTGTATATATATATATACGAATATAATGAATATAACGTGTATATCTATTTATAATTTATATATATATATATACTGATATATGAAATTGTACATGCGTATATATGTATACACACATATATATACTATATCATTATATATCATTTGTGTATACATCATTCGGAGTTTGCTGGATTGTTTTCGATTTTCGAGGTGAGTTCACCAGGGGGTGCCAGCCACCCAACCTTCGGAGAGGCTAGCTGGATATAAGCCCCATAAGTGGGGATATGTTTTAAACCCCTATAGCCTATCGTCATGGCCATATAGTGCCACATACTCACTGATTCAGTGGAACCGCAGTAAATCACAGCCTCCTTCGAGAGCTCATGCGACTCATCGCGCAGTGGAGGTAGCTGCACCTAAAGGCGACTGGTGACACCAATCCCGAAAAGCCGCCTTGAAAATCTCACCATCAATCCACCAATCTTTAAGATTAGCCACTGCAGTAATTTCATGCCGGCAACCTACTGCAACTGGTGGAGACTATCATGGACCCTGATCGAACTTTGTTTCGCGATGTTCTTTAAGTGGAAACGATCATTCTTGAGGGGTTCAGATTCAAGTTGTGGGCGACTTGCCGCGACGAGGGACGAGGGAGGAGGGAGGGGCTTTAACCGTTTTCCAACACTTCCAAAAACTATTCACTGGTGGATTTAGGGGTCTACCATGAGGTACTCAATTGATTCCAATTGCTCATTGATGATCATTCGACTAGTATCATCTAACATTTGGAGCATCACATGTCACTCTCTCCGCAACAAATCTGAGCCCCAAACTGCTGACCCAGAAGCAGAGATTCGTTCGCCCTATCGGGGAGATCAAGCCATGAAGGTGGGACTTGGAAGCAGTCTTACATGGCTACAACTCATGTAAATGTATGAAAATGAGGGATTTAACCAGTCGTATAGCATTGGGATATATTGCAAATCAGTGGATATTTGACCAACAATATCATGTTTGGGTGTGATTGAAAATGGGGTATACCGGTATACCCTCAATTTATGGCAATCTCAATAGGGAAAACAATGACAACCGTGGGATTTAGAGTTTTTCCCCAAAGTTCTCAACCAAAAATTTGAAAACCATGGACAGATACAAGTTCAAGAGTTCAGCCTCTACTAGTAGGAATATTGCATACAGCTAGCAAGAATGGGCATCCTCGGCCTACTACCTGCCTCCCTCAGCCCATGATCCGCCAGGGGCCCATAAGGTGTCCCTCCTGCTGTTGTCGCTGCAGCCCCCGATGTGCGCTGTCGAAGTAACCTGAGATCACCTGAACCATGCGCAGCCATGCGCAGCCCAATCCCTGATACAAGTATGATTGTTGCCTTCAAACATTTAGGATTGTTGTTGGTGTCATGACTTGAACAGATCTAAAATTGCAATTTCAGGGTTCCATGTTGGTTTTCAGGGTACAGTCGGTGTAGTATACATATAAATCCTGGACTTGGGCTGGCAAATCTATGGTGTGCTGTCGTTTTCTAACATACCATTTAAGATTGGCATCTTGAACTCAAACCTCTTTTTTTGTGACTGCAACGTACTTTTGCCAACAGAAATGGCGTATAAACAACACGTCCCAATACGTTCTGGTTTGCCTAGGACTTGATCAAGATTCTGAACCCGTTCAAAAGTAGCAGGTGGTCAAAATTGTACCATCTCTAAATTCAAAACAATCACTCAAGAGCAGTGTGGCTGTGACGCTACGGCCCACAATATCTTCAAGGATTGTGTATGTACGCATTATGAGGCAAGATTCGATTCCATTTTCTGTGCCCATTCGCATTCCCTGGGTGCCTACAACTTTCCCTGGGGGTGGAACAACTGGACCAAATCCCTCTTTTCGGACAAAAAACTGTCCGTTGCAAGCAGGGCCTTTCTAACAAATTCTCGTGGGCCGAAAATCCAAATCCAATCGCTTCCTGGTCGTGGCGAACCGCGCCTTATTCATGGCGCAGGAACTCTGTGCCCCCCACGCTGGGCTCGAGCCAAGTTGGGCGATGTCAAAGAGCTATTGGAACCCCGCATCATGAACCAACTTAAGACTTAGCTCTTGGAAACTGCTCACATCATCAACCTCAGATGGTTGACGCACAAATATGTTTGTATGTGTATATATGTATATATATATATGTATCTATATATATATATGTATGTATATATATGTATATATATATATGTATATATATATGTATATATATACATATATATATACATATATATAATTACATATATATATATACATATATACATACATATATATATATATATTAATGTATTGTATTTTGTATGCTGTATGTTGTATTTTGTATTTTGTATTGTATTGTATTGTATTTGTACTGGTATTGTATTTGTATTGTATTGTATTGTATCGTATTGTATAATATTAAATATTATGTAATAGTATATCATATTATATCATAGTCTATTAATTATATTATATTATATTGTATTATATTGTATTATATTATAGTATATTATATTATCATTATTATTTATTATACATATATGAATAATAAACTACCTGATGTTCCTATGGTCCGCCAAAATGGCCGTTGCTTAAAAAGGCCGGTGGAGCGTGGTGACAGGGATCATCAGTCGTGTCTGGGAGAAATTTATTCCAACATTACCCTCTGGTAATGACTAACATAGCTATTGAGAATGGCCATTTATAGTTGATTTACCCATTAAAAATGGTGATTTTCCAGAGTTATGTTAGTTTACCAGAGGGTACACTCCAATAAATCAGATTAAATCTAGAGTACTTGCAATATGTTCCTCAAAGAAAAAACTGCCCAACTGGTTGCTCCCAACGGCTGCATCCCACGCTAAAGACATCCAAACAATTCCAAATATCAAATAATTCATCTGAGATAGGCGAGGACATTGGTCCAAATAATGTTATACAATTATATAATTAAATTCTTTGATGAATTTTGGTCTCTCCCGATCCAGCTCTGAGTCTGGCCAAAATCGTCATGCTGGAGGGCAGGATGACTTCTCGCTTGGTTTACTACTTATCCCTTCGTGAATTCACAACCTTTGTTACTTCTTTGAGGTATGTATACATGACCCACAATTCATCATCATAGACAAATAATGTGCATATAATCCAGGGTATGGGTCAAACTTGAGTGTCTTCAAATAGACAATGCATAGCACAAGTGGCAAAAAAATTGAAATCCCGCTCATGGCTGGGTCACCTACAGCTGACCCTTACGGAAGAATGCGCATCACTCTCCGCCGATTTTTTTTCACCTGCGATGAATTCAGTCAACGATATATAGCTTTCTCCTCCGAAATAGTCCGCAAGGGATGGGGAAGAACCAGGCATCCAATTGGTTTCCAAGATCCATGGACCTTTTTTGGATAGGAATTTGAAGGTTCGGAAAAAAGGACCCTGAAAACCAATGAAGTTCGTTTCCAACTCAGAAAGCGAATGATTAAACCATTGCGGATGAAAACCTTGGTGCCGGGGTGAACATCAAAGTAGCTGCTGCGCATGATATACAGCAAATGGATATGCATCGTCCCCTTCCCGACCCTTCTGGCTATCGCACACCGGAATCCATTAGGGCTGATGGGCTGATCCAGAAGTCTGAACATATTCACTTCCTAGATGGATACAAAATTTCAGGGAAACAATGCGAAACATGTTTCTTGCCATCCCAACACACAGGATTCTTGTAAATTCTGCCTCAACCAATTTTTTGTGATGACGTCAGTGTTGCATTCTCGCAACTTCAAACACCAAACATGCACCCAAACATGCACAAAATGCTCATGAAAGTTGCTGGAAGCTTCCATGATGTCAGCCAGCTGCAACGGATTTCAGCCGGACCTTGGGAGTTTGGTCGGAGGAGTTTTAGTCCTGAACTTTGCCAGGAAGCGAACAACCTCCCAATGACCGTGTTGAGCTGCCAGGTCCACAGCGGTTGCTCCATTGCGTTTTTTTGCCTGGGTATCGGCACCTCTTTCAATGAGAAAGCGAACCATTTCGAGATCGCCTCGTTCTGCTGCAACATGCACGGCTAATGCCGCAGTATCCTTGGTTGCCAGCGTTTGGTCAGCACCAAGTTCCACCAAGTGACGCACAATGTCAAGATGACCGTTGCAGGCTGCAATGAACAATGCTGTTGCACCAGCCATTGTGCATGAATCTTTGTCGGCGCCAACATCCACCAAATGACGGACGACTGCAAGAAAGCCTTTCTGAGCTGCAACAAATAATGGTGTTGCTCCATTGTAGGTGGTTTGATCTTTACAAGCACCAACTTTGACCAAATACCGGACTACATTCAGATGGCCATGCTCAGCTGCAATATACAACGCCGTTGCACCATCATCTGTGGTTTCGTCCTTAAGGGCGCCAACTTCCACCAAATGACGCACCACGTCAAGATGGCCACACCGAGCTGCTATCATCAATGGCGTTACACCATCATTCGTGGTTTGATCTTTGCAGGCGCCAACTTGCACCAAATAACGGACAATGTCGAGGTAGCCGTTCTGAGCTGCAATGAACACTGGCGTTGCGCCATGTTTCATGGTTTGATCTATGCGGGCACCAACTTCCACCAAATAACGAACGACGTCAACATGGCCCTGCTCAGCTGCGACAATTAATGGTGTTGCACCATCATTCGTGGCTGGATCTTTGTCAGCACCAACTTGCAGCAAATGACGCACAACGTCAAGATGGCCCCACCCGGCTGCCATAAACAATGGTGTTGCACCATCCTCGATGGTTTGATTTTTGTGGGCACCAACTTCCACCAAATGACGGACCACGTCGAGATGGCCGCGCCAAGCTGCTAATAGCAATGGGGTAATTTTTTGAGTTCCTGTTTCTGCATTTTTGTCAGCACCTGCGTCAAGCAAGAGCCGCACGCTTTCAACATGTCCAAGTTTCGAGGCATGGTGCAATGGCGTCCGGCCACGGTCATCAGTCACATTGGGATTCAAAGGGTTTTTCAGCAACTTCTCCAGTGCAAGAAAATCGTTTTTGGTGGAGGCAGAGATAATCTGTTGGTTTTGTTCCGCATCCGGCGGATGGAACTGCAAGATCACCAAGTTTACGTTCATGGGAGCGGAAGCAAAAACCTCATCATCCACAATCTCCGAACCATCTTCCGAAAAAAACCGCTGTCTGAATCTGGTTACACCGACCTGCTTTGCCAAGGCTTCCTTCACAGCCCTTGCAGTTTTTCCTTCGAACTCATCAGCAGCAAGGCCGGCCAGTTTTTCGCCCGACGCAAGGAAGCGCACCTCCATTGCATCCAGGCAACCGTACGGCAACCTGGTCACTCTTATAGACGTGTTTTTTGCCTACTTACTGCAAATAGAATCGAAGGAAATGTAGAAGTCAAATTTCCAACAATATGGACAGATGGAAAAGCAGAGGTGGGAGGAGTCAGAGAAGAGAAGAGAAGAGAAGAGAAGAGGAGAGAAGAAGAGAGAAGATCAAAGAAGCGAAAAAGTCAGAAGAAAGAAGATGCAGGTGCGCGAAAAGGTAGAAAAGTCGCTCGCTTCAACATGCACAAAACACACCATGCTCGGAGCACTTTTGGAAATTGTGATGTCGAAAAAGTGCACGCCGTTGTGGCGCGAAGCACATTTCCAAGCCAAAATGTACAAAACGCACCAGCTTCGAAGCACTTTTGGAAGTTAAGATGCCGAAAAGTGCACGCCGTCCAAGTCAACATGTTAAAAACACATTTGCAGAGTATCTGCAAAGATGCATTTCGCATGGCAGGCGCAGTACAAGAGACATGTTCGTCAGAGATGTTAGGAGGTCAGGGCGCTGATTTCCTGAGATAGGTTGCATTTTGGAGCATCAGATCTTCAGGTTTGCTAAGATGATTTTGCGTGACAGGTGCAGCACTCCGTATGACCTGGCATCACTTTTTCGTGGCAGGCGCAATACTTTTAAAAGGGTGTAATGGAAAAATCGCAAAGCGCATTGGCATGAGGCCGTCAGCTCTGCGCTCAACTTTCCATTCTTGAAGGAAGTCTCGCAGAATTGCTTCGTTTTTGACGTCCTCAACTTGGAAAATTGAGGAAGTCTCTCAAAATTGCTGCCTTTTTATGTTGCCAAGGTCAAAAAAGAAGAAAGCCTTGCAGGATAGCTTCGTTTTTGATGTTAAGTTCAAAATTGAGGAAGTCTCGCAGAATAGCTTCGTTTTCAATCTTGCAGATAGATAGATAGATAGATAGATGGATAGATAGATAGATAGATAGATAGATGGCTAGACAGATAGATAGATGGCTAGACAGATAGATAGATAGATAGATAGATAGGTAGATAGATAGATAGATAGGAAGATAGGAAGATAGGAATATAGGAATAGATAGACAGATAGGAATAGATAGGAATAGTTAGGAATAGTTAGGAATAGATAGGAATCGATAGGGAAAGATAGGAATAGATAGGAATAGATAGGAAGAGATAGGAATCGAAAGGAAAAGATAGGAATAGATAGGAATAGAAAGGAATAGACAGGAATAGAAAGGAAAAGATAGGAATAGATAGGAATAGAAAGGAACATATAGGAACAGATAGAAAGAAAGATAGACGGCCACAACTACAACAACTGCCACTACACTACACTACACTACTACTACAACTACACATGCAAATATATTACGATACATTACACTACACTAATTACACTACACTACACTAATTACATCTAATTACATCTAAGTACATCTAATTCCATCTAATTACATCTAATTACATCTAATTACATCTAATTACATCTAGTTACATCTAATTCTAATTACATCTACAGTAATTCCATTTAACTACTAACCACACCTAACTACATCTAATTACATCTAACTACATCTAATTACATCTAATTACACTACAGGACACTAATTTCACTACAACTGCAACAGCAATAACGACAACAACAACAACAACTACTACTACTACTACTGCTAATG